GCCAGGCGCGCGTGGCCTCGGGCAGGCCGGGCGCCAGCGCCTGGAAGGCGGCGCGGTCGACGACGGTGATGGGGGTGGCCTTGGCCGGGGGGGATTTCTTCAGCTTGACGGTCATCGGTCAGCTCCAGGGGACTCGAGGCGGGCATTGTGTCGGCATGACACGAGTGCAAAGAAGTGTGTGCAGCCTGTCAACCACGCTGGCGGAGCCGGCGTTGTGCTTCCCAATCGCGACGCATTCGCCGTGAGAAGGCCTCCCCAGGCCAGACAGCCATGATGAAGATCCAGAACCGCCAAGAACACACGCAGCGCCGCCTCCCGGTGCCCGAGATGGGCCAGGACTGGAGCGCCGACAAGGGTCGCAAGCACGAGGCCTTCGACACCGGTTTCTACAGCGGCGAGCGCCGTGGCCTGGCCCGCGCCCTGCGTTTCGACCGCAAGCGCTGAGCCACCCGCCCTGCGGCTGACCGGCCTTCAGACCGGCCGGCTGACGCCCGAAACGGCTTCCAGCCCGCCCTCCGGCAACGGACGGCGGGCTTTGTTTTGCCCAGTGCTGCACACAATCCTTGTACAGGTCCTGGCGCGGGTGGCCCGAAAATATGCCCATGAAAGCTGCCCGTCGTTCCGTCGCCTTCGTCTCTGGCGCCCTGCTGTACTGCGCCGGCGTCGGTGTCGCGATGAAATACGCGTCCATCGGCCTGCCGCGCCAGGTCTACCTGCAACTGGGCGGCCGCAACAGCCTGCAGGTCATGCTGGGCGAGGCGGTCGTCACCGCGCTGGTGCTCTTCCTCATCGCCGCCATCTGGGGCTATCTGACGCTGCGGCCGACGCGCCGCCGCCACCGGCCCTATGTGGCCTGGATGCTGTCGGGCGTCGGCGTGGGCTGGGCGGGCTGGCTGATCTTCGGCGCGTTCACGTTCGCGCTGGCGCCGCAGTCCTACTCGGCGCCGATGCAGACCATGCTGCTGTCGTCCGGTGCCGCGCCGCTGTTCGGCGCGATGAACATCTTCGGCGTCATCGGCGGCGTCTGGCTCGCCGGCACGCTGGCCAAGCGCAAGCAGATGGGGCTGCCCACCACGCGCTCGCGCCGTCGCCCGGCCATCAAGCCCGTGGATGCGGTCGATGCCGTGGACAGCACCGTGTCGACGCTGGGGCCGCAGACGGTCGCTCCGCCGCATTGACGCGACCGGCCTGCGCCCGCTGCGAGCGCCCGCTCGCCACCTGCCTGTGCGCCACGCTGCCGGCACCGCCGCTGGCGCACCGCACCGGACTGCTGATCCTGCAGCATCCGGCCGAGGCCGGCCATGCGAAGAACACGGCGGCGTTCCTGACACTGGGCCTGCAATCTGCCCGGCTGCTGCGCGGCGAGGTTTTCGACGCCAGCCTGGCCAGCCCCGGCACGGCGCTGCTCTACCCAGCTGAAGAGGCCACGGCCGCGACGCCCGCCGACGTCAGCCGCCTCATCCTGCTCGACGGCAGCTGGCGCCAGAGCCGCCGCCTGCTGGCCGCCAACCCCTGGCTCGCCACGCTGCCGCGCGTGAGCCTGCCTGACCAGCCCGGCCGCTATGCCATCCGCCGCGCCCACCGCCCCGGGCAGCTGTCGACGCTGGAGGCGGGCCTGCATGCGCTGGCCTTGCTGGAGGGCGAGGCGCAGCGCTTCGAGCCGCTGTGGGCGGCGTTCGAATCCTTCGTTGAGGCCGGCCTTTACAGAAGGGCAATGGGTTTCGCCTAGCATTTCGGGATGCTTTCGCTCCTGCGTCTCGTTTCTTCGGCCTTGCTGGCCGCCCCGCTGCTGGCCTCGGCCGCCCCTCCCGAGGCCGCCACCGAGCATGTGAAGGCGCGCCTCGTCAGCAGCCAGGCCACGGTGGCGCCGGGGCAGCGCTTCACGGTCGCGTTCGAGCAGACCATCAAGTCGCACTGGCACACCTACTGGCTCAACCCCGGCGACTCCGGCCAGGCCACCACCATCGACTGGACCGGCACCCAGGCCGGCCCCATTCAGTGGCCGACACCGTCCGTGCAGGCCATCGGCCCCATCGTCAACTACG